ACAGAAAAACCCAAATCAAACATAACCAAAAATCAAACATAACCAAAAATCAAACATAACCAAAAATCAAAAAATAAAGAATCAATCAAATTTAAAATGGATTAGTTTTTTCTCTTCTTAATTCAAGTGTTCCTTCTCCTTCTTCTTGTTCTTGTTCTGCATCTGAATTTTGTTGACTTTCATAATTTGTAGGTAATCTTTCACTAATCGGTTTAGAAGATGGATTAAATAAAGCTTGATATGATCTTCTTTTAGGATCTTTTGCTCTGGCTTCTTTTGATTTTTCTACTTTACGTTGTGGTCTTACTACGATCACGGGCTACATTGAATTCCAACCCAATGGTAAGTATGATGCAAGAAGCATATATATGTTAGATGATAGGAAGTACTTACCACTGGAGATCTAGCTACAAGATATTGACTGGTAGAACCGAGTGAAAAAGCCTTTTGCCACGCTGATGTTGAGCGACCACGTGTTCCGACCACTAAAGAGTCTGGCTTATAAACTTCAAGCATTCTAGTATCGATATACGATTCCGAAAGTGTCAAATTAATGTGAGTTCTATAGATTAAAAGATAAGATGAAAGAAATCAATCTTACCGTTGAATGGTCTTGATAGGTGGCCCGATCACAAATTCTACAGTCACATTGATTTGTCTATCATTCTTGGTCAAGACATGAAACAAAACATCTTGAGCTTCTGATTTAGTGGTTTCTTCATTCTCAGCCATGAATTGTCTATGGGCTGAACTACCAGGTTCGATGACTCGTAGTACAACCACTTCATCTCCATTCTATCAAAAGAACCCAACCAAACCCATTCAACTTAGATTCTCATTGAATAGAATGTATCATTTAAAAAGATGATTCTTACCTCAACCAATGAACCCATTAACCAATCTAAAGCTTGTATTGAATATTCTTCACCATCCGTAGCGACTAAAAAACAACGAGAATCACGACCAGGACAATACTTTGAACTTTTAGCTTGTAAAGTAAAACTATATTCTGCACCAGTTCCACCTCCTTTAGTAGGTTCTTCCGTATCAAGAGTTGAAAATCCTACTCGACGTTGATATCCTGGTGGTAAATCTTCGGTACTTGAATGAGCTCTGTTTAACTTGGGTCTTGGGATGATAGGTGTGATGGGTGAAGGTTCAAGTAAGTTGAGTTTCGAAAGTTCCTTGCTTGGTACATCACTTGTAGGTAAACTTGGTCTTGATTGTGATGGGTCTGGTAAATATGATGAAGGTTTTAATGCGGATCGAAGAGTTCCATGATTTGATGTGGCAGAAAGAGGTGATGGTTCATCTGAAGGATTGAATGTTAATTGATCCGAATGACTAGATCGAGGCTCAGGTGTTAATGACATCTTCGAAATACGAATACGCGGAGTACCAAAGTTGAGTACAACTGATATCTAGAACAGATGGTCTAGAATGACGTTCGATTTGATCGTTCGTTTGTTCTCGGAAGTTGATAAGTTCAAAGTTCAAAGGTTGAAAGTTGGATCGATTGAAAGTTAGATTACGACGTGGTGGCTATGTTGTAGTTGTTGAACTTGAGAGTGATACATTTTTGGAAACCGTTTGAGGTGATGTTTCGTTCAAGGGGCAGGGGAAGTTTATAATGCCCAGCAACGGCCGTCCAAAGTACAAACCGGACTATACCCTAACACTTAAGTGCCGGTCATCAAGCTTTAGTGGTCATGGTGAGCTCGTCTGATCACTAACCGTAACCTAGGACTTGGTGATTTATGAGCTTGGTTGGCAAGATTCAAGGGGGTCAACGAGACAAGAAAGACAGACACCATCGTCTTGATGAAGAAGACCAAAACAGAATCTGAAGTGATGATTGCTATCATGCAATATCATGACTTGGTAAGATAAAAGGAAGACAGCTGATCCATGGTTGATGTGAAGCAAGAAAGAAAAGCTGAATCACTATGATGCACACTCAGACATAGGGTTGGAGGAAACCTTTCCCGTATGAAGACAAATACTGATGTCTATCCTGACATTTATTATTCTCCTTCTTCCTGATTTACCTCACTTATCAGTCCTCAGAAATGTCCAGCAGCAAGGTGCCCAGACTATCTTCGCCATATAACTTGCAAAAATACACCTGACTTCACATCTTTAATGGAGACAACCACCAGGTTGCAAATTCTTCACTTAACTTTGAAAGGTGGGACGAGCTCCTGACCAACCTCGAGCAGTCTCAAGGAATCTCAAATCAGAACAAACTGAGAATTCGTGATTTTTGGCTGTTTACTTCTTCTTGTTTGAAAGCCGCGCATACATAGTCCATCGGGTTCAGAAAACTGGGTCGAGATGACCTTGTGATCAAAAACAGTCAAAAAGACAGAAAGCTTTCAGGAATCAGCAGACCCTCAAGACCTTATTGCGACTGTAAAGAGTCAAGACGAGCACATATCCTCTGTCTAGGTGTATATGTATGAATAAAACCTACTCTGCTGACTGCACTCATGTGCTGATACATCAATCATTTTGGATTCCTTCTGGCCAGTTTGTCTCCAATTGTTCCATGTTCAGCAGTTGCGCTTGATAAACTCTGAGGGTGGTCACTTACCAATTGACTATACAAAAATCATAATACCATGAAATGTCAGGAATTGATAATGATTAAACTGATTTCACGCCGCTGTTTGACCTTACTATTAGTATTACCTTTCTTGCAATGCATACATTTTCACCCAAGATTTGGGTGACCGGTTGATGGGCTTTTAAGATTGGTGTCTCAATGTAGAGGAAGGATCCCAGATGCAAGGATTGTAAGCTCAAAGTATGATTGGACATTCCTGAAAGAGACTTCAAACATCTTGCAAGGTATATTGGATCAAACAAGCTGTCCAATTTAATAAATCATGTTCTTGTCCAATCTCTTGAGTCTTTACGTAGACTATGTCACCAATTATAATTCTCTGTTCCATGACCCACATTGAAGAGGGACCTCATGATTTTGAATTTCTCAAGGGAATAAGTTGATCAGAGTCAAAGTGGAAATTCACCTTTGATTGCAATCTAGTTTGTTTTGTAGAGCAATGGTAAAGAATTGTTTTCTAAGACAGGTTGTTAGATTCACACATTAACAGCTTTTTTACATTGAGAAGTGTAGTCTACAAACATGGTACTTTAAAGATCTCAACTTGAATTAGTTTCTTACAATCTATTGACTTATCACCATAAATCTCAACAGTTTCAAATCTTAAAATACAGGCAAAGTTCATCATGTATCACTTTTCACTCCATTTCTTGTGTTCAAATGGCCATCCCTAGATACCAATGTCATTGACCTTTGTGGATGTTATGACGAAAAAATCCATTCATTTCACTGGCCCATTGAGCTTCAAATCAAGTTCCTGTTGACCAAAGTATATCAACTCATATGAACTACACTATGAAGATTTAATCGTTACTTACCATTAATTCTTCAGGCGTTGATTCAGGCTTGATATGACATTGAATCCCGTGAGAGGAGAGAGCTTGACCAAGTAGTCTCAAGTCAACTTTGGTAGCGTTGAGCGTCAAAACAAAGATGATATGTCTCAAGTTAGGCGTATTGCGAAAGGGATCTTCCCCTGAGTATCGCAAGTGGCTTGCTAGATAAGCTGGACCTCCATAAGAATCCAAAACAAGTGTTCGGATGGTACGAAAGATTGGCCAGATCAGGAAATGTTCATGTCTGATAAACATGCCATAAGCATGGGGATCATGACACAACCGAGTGCGTAAAAGACGAAGTTTTGGAAAATTCATATCGATGGGAGACTCTGGGATATCAACGGTAACTGCGCGAGTGATAAGACCTTCAAGTGTGTTGACAATTGGACCAAAAACCCGTCCGGGCTCTCGGATCTGTCCGCGAAAATTGATGATCTTCAGACTATCTTTCGCCGTTTGACAGATGTGAGTGATTGCATCCCGGTTACTATCAAAGTATCCAAAGTTGAGATATCGTAAGTTTGATAAGGCTGGTGGATTCATTGGCAATATGATTACATCAACTTTTAGCAGGGTGAGCGCTTCGAGCCTGGGCATAGCCAGAAAGAAATCGGATAACAATAGCGGATCGTAGGCCCAATCTCTTGTAGTGCACTGTAGGTCTAGTAAGCTCAACTTTCTTAGATTTGTAATGCGTTTTGCAGCCTCAACTAAGCTTGGAGAAATCCCGAAAGAATCGATAAAGAACAATTTCAACTCGTTTAAGTTTTCACCAATTAACTCGATTAATTTTGCTGCCTGATCCACAAAGATAGGATATTGTCTTCGACGACCTGTAGATGATTGATAAAATAGATGATTGATAAAAGGGATTCTTTCAGAAACTGTTCTGCATATAGTTGTTGAAGTAAATTTGCAGATCACCTTTCTTCAAGCTCATATAATCGTTAGGACCTATGTAGATCAGATCTTGAATTATAAGACGTTTTACCGGACAAGGACAATCAGGAGCCTGAATCTTTGACCAATTGTCGAGAATGACTTGAACCGCTGTGGAAGAACGAAGTCGGATAGTATGAAAAGCAAATGGAATTATAGCCTTCTGACCAAGTTTCGAAACTAATCGAAGGCTGAGCAGTTCAGTTCTTGATTTGTGGTCAAGACATGGGTCTGAAGCAAGATCGATGTCTTCATTTCGAGAATACGTCAATTTGGAGACATATTCGTTGATAATTTGAGAGACTATCTCGAATGGCAGCCACAGCTTTTTAGGGGCAGTGAATTCTTGCTCTGATGATTTGTGCATGATTGGAAAATAAAGACCCACTGTGTTCAATTGGGAATTGATTTGTGGAGTGACCTACAGAAGTGACCAACACGCAGAGGCTTCTGAAGCTTTTGCGCGTCCGGAGTTCAGATACACTTATCAACTATTGTCAGTATTGAGAACACTTTGAAGTTCACATGCCCTCTTCCCACCCCTACATAGTCTTGCTAAGCTTATGCTTAATAAGCTCAGTCCCATAACTTCTGGATCTCACTTCTGGACACTTCTGTAGGCCACTTCATGCATCTTGAATACACCATTATTTATCGGAAACACCAGTCTCTGGGGGGGAAAGGTACAGGGTATTTAGCAAAGAGGATTTGACCTGAGTTCTCTTTTCCAACTTACCAAAACACCTCAAATTATGATGGAATAGATAGGAAGTCAGCATTTAGCACTGTTCTGGGTGCTCACTCCGGACATTGACAATTAGTAATCAGCCCCCGTTCAAGGGCGCGGAGAAGGCTTTGTTAGGCAAAAAAAATTCAAAACAATGGAATCAAACAATCCATTCACCGCTATTTACCCTCATCTTCTTTTCTTATCTTTTGCTTCAAATTACCTGCTTGCGCTCAGGCTTCATTATCACTTGTCATCACTATGATCTTCAGAAAAGTGTCTGTCTTTTGTTTTATGAAGATCGTCCATATTATCCCAATTCATTCTGAATTGCAAGAAGAATCATTGTATGAAGAAAAACGTGAACCCTTGAAGATTTATTGCAAGTTTCACATCTTCCAAGCGGATAATTTTGAGCTTGTCCCATATTTAGTTGCAAAAGGATCGCCCTCCTATGAAAGTTAACAATCTTCTATCTTGAGCTCTTGAATTCCTGGACTTAACAAAACTTATAAATATACTTTGCCAACACCTTAAGTTGAGAAAGATCAATTAATATAAGTTGGTTAATGATCCTGGGGTGATGTCTTGATGCATAGATGAGGGGAAACCTTTGATCTCCAAGACTTGAATAGATCCCCATTTTCAAATTTATAACAAAGATGAATATTAATGGAGCAAACTCACGGTGCTATTGATTTTATCTTGCTTCTGATTGCAATCTGGTTAGTTTGGTAAAGTAGTGGTCAAGATTGGTTTTCAAAGGCAGTTTTTTACACTCATCAAAAGTTTTTTAATATACATTAGTCTAGTCTACAATCATGATACGAAAAAATATTTCAGGTTGAGTTATGTTCTTACAATGTACAGACTTATCCCTTACAATCTCAAAAGTTGCATACAATCTTAAAATAAAAGCAAAATCCATCCAGTCTTAGTCATTTGCATTGTCCTGTTGTTTTGAGAGGATTATCCGTGGGCACCAATATTATTGGTCTTTGAAAAATCCGTGACAAGATGAATTTATCACTTCATTGGACCATTGAGCTTCAGATTGAGTTCCTGGTGATCAAAGTGAATCAAGTCAGATGAAGTACACTCTGGAGAATTGATTTTTACATACCATTAATTCTTCAGGCTTGAATTCAAACTCTAAATGACAATGGATCCCATGAGACTTGAGAGCTTCAACTAGTCTCAAGTCAACAGTGGCTTTGGAACCCTCCATTACAATAAAGATGATATGCTTTAAGTCAGGCGTATTATGAAAGGTTTCTTGAGCTATATGTTGCAAGTGGCTTTCTAAACAAGACGGACCTTTAGGAAAACCCAAAACAAGCATTTGGATAGTACAAAATATTGGCCAGATCAGGAAATGTATATAACTGTCAAACATGTCATCATTATTGGTTCCTCCCTACTTCACCACTCTTTATGCTACAGTCTTGTTCATAGGCGGGTCAGAGAGGGTGTTGTTTGTTTGGTATGTTTTAATTCTACAATCTTTTGGCCTAGCATCTTCTGTTTGGTATCCGGAAGTACCATGGATGATATTTCCCCATGTCCTATGCTGCTTCTTGCATCCTTCGAGCGCAGCGAGGGACTTGTGTATGTCAATGACACACGCTTTTGCCTGTGAGCCTGTGAGGGGAATCAAGTTTGCCTGCAGAAAGTTTCATTCCTTATAGAATTCTTTTATCTATCTATGAATCTTTGTGAACCATGTGGACTTTTTGTTCCCCTCTCTGCCATCAAAAAACTTACCTAGGAAACCAAAGAATAAAGGGTTTTGACCTGTATATTTTTAGATTTCTCCTGCAAAAACTCATTCCCGAATCCCTTCACAGGCTAAAAGCGTGCCATGAGGTGCCATGTTGTCAACAAGACGTCCCTCCCTGTGTTCGACGCGTGCGAGAAGCAGCGTGGGACTTGGAAAAGTTTAGGATACGGCTGTTTGTTCTGCCCGGAAAATCTAAATTTACAGCCAAACCAATGCCTGGCACGATGCATTCTACTTTGTGTCCCTTTGATTCTAAGACCAAACAGACCATCTAGCTCCCACATTTATGTAGTAGATATCACCAAAGTTGAGAGTGGATTTCAATTTCAGTGTACATACCAATTATTTACAAAATGATCGAATTAAAAAAATGAAAGGAGAAACCTTACGACGTGAATGATTTGAGAAAGAAAAGACCAAGGAAGAAAGAAAAGAAAACTGAAATCCAAGATGATTGAGATCTCGATGGTTTTGTTTAGCACAGACCATTGATTGAAACGATATAAATTCAAAGAGATCATTAAATAGTTTGACTAACTTGACCAAAGAAGATATTGTAATCTTTCTTTGACCCATACGACGAATCACATTTTCATTTACGAATTCCTCAGCTTCAAGCTTCAAACTTCAGAAAATCAGTTCACCGGTGAATCAGTTTGGTTAGTGCATAACTGATTGTACTTTCATTCTAGGATTTTTAATTTCATTTAAGTGCTTTCAACTTTTAAGCCATTTCTTTTAATTCGTTTTTTCTATTCATCATCATCATCATCCAATATCAATATCAATATCAACTACTAATCCATTCCTTCATCTATCTTGATGGACTTTTGGTTCCTTGCTCTCTATAAATAATCACATCAGATTCAATTTGAACCCCTTTCAAGAACATCTAATTTATTGTAACCTTTTTTTTTGCCGAGATCTTTTCTACTTACCATATCTCTCTCTGTTTTGGATCTCCAAACAACAAGTTGTATCAATTGATTTACGAACATTTTGACTTGATTTGATTTGATTGATAGTAAGTACACACGCACACCGAGGGTGATTTATATTTATTTTTTTCGAAAGGAGTCTGTCCAGGATTGTTCTTTGGCATTTGCATAAATTGAATGGCAGAACTTCAAGTGTTTCCGAGTTTGGATTCTACAACTGATCATCAACTTCATCATCAACATTCTTTATCAATTCAAAGTTCAATTTCGATTACAGATTCGATTACTGATCCATTCCATTCACCTCAATTGAATCCAATACCAAATCGATTCAACTTTAGTACATTCTCAAAAGATCCTCAAAAACAACAACAACAACAACAACAGGATACCAATTTTGTATTTCCATCAGTTAAAGAAACCAAACTTGAAGATTACCTTGATCATTCTAATGAAGGAGATGAAGATGAAGATGATATGAATAGTGATGAACTTAATACGATTGAAGAAGCCGTTAAGATTACATTAACCAATCACACTTTAAACCAAAGTACTAGATCTAATCCATCAGTAAGGTCTTATATACCAACTACTAATCCAATCAATCCTACTCCGATTCTCTCTCAAGACTCACAATTCTCAACGAAATCTAAACCACAAGACCGATATTTAAATACACTCAAACCCATCAAAATACCACCACCACCAACTCAAAGTAAATTACAAACAGGAATAGAAGATCTAAGTATTAAATTCAAAACATATAAACTCAAGAATCCAAAACAATCTGGTCCAATCAATAGAATGAATTCTGCAAGAAGATCAAGATCAAGAGATTCATTAGAAGTTCATGATGAGAATTTAGAATTAGAATTAGAAATAGATGGATTTGTTGATGTACCACCTTCATTTACTTTACCTAAATTCACTACTCAATATCAGGATGGTAAGTTTTCTTTTTGATGTTTTTTTGGTATATTCTTTTCTTTCCCAATTTACCTAATCCTTTGCTATTAAAGAAGGTTTTTTGATGGTTAATATCCAATGAAGTGATTGATCCATGAAACTTGATGGATTTGAGTTGAAGTTAGTCATCGGAGATGAGTTAAACTTTGATTGGTTTGAACCATCACACTTTTCTGTTTACCTTTTTAAGTTTCTTTACTTGATCCTTTACCATCCGAAACGTTCACATCCACTTTACTTGACTCTTATCCTTGATCACCATTTCATATCGATGATGATGATTTGAATTTAGTTCCTTTGAATTCGAGTGAACCTTTCATCTCTGGTTTTCCAGTTTTCATTTCTTTCCTTTTTCTCAGTCTAGACCGAGTATGTATCAGACTGTCATGATACAGGTTTGATTTGATTCACATCCTTCGCGTGCTTTCTCATGAATTCTTAATCTTCTATAGTTCAATTCAATCTTCAGTTCAATTTCAAATCAAAATCACATTCGGCTGATTGTTTATGTACTCAACTTCAACTTCTTTCTTTGAAAAAGAATGTTACATAACCTCAAACTATAAAATTCATATCTCAACCACTCATCATCAACTGTTTTTCTCAGTCTACTTAAAGGATCTATCTCCAACATACCCATCACGACCTTTTGAGAAAATAAGTTTCATAGCTACTAGATAAAGATTCTAATCAGCTTTCTTTCTTTTTTGGTTCGTCTGGCAATTAATTCAAATAGGAGGTAGTAATCGAAAATCTCGAAAACCATCACTCATCTTTCGTCGTCAGCTGAGTGGAGGTCCCAACATTGAAGGATCTCAAAAATCAGATCGAAAAATATCATCAACAAGCTCCGATCGATCTCATAACCATCGTCGTCGTTCTTCCAGTATGAATGATGGCAGTTTGACCACTACTGGTCTTGGAATCGCTCTTACTACCAATGATTCAAAATCAGATCAAGTTTTAAATTCTCCTGCTTTTAGTAATACCAGATTAACTATCCGTCCAACCACTCGTCATCATTCACTTAATCGTCGTAATTCAGCTGCTCCACCTGATCGACACGTTTCTATGATCACTTCAGACTTAGGCACCTCTTCATTTGCAAGTGATTCAGAAGCGGCGACTAGCCGACCAGGTACTGTGATCTTTGATGCTCTTTCAGATTTACCTTTCTCTTCATCAAACCCAACGGCAACCCATCAATCTAGAAATCAAATCAAAACTCGACCGCAGTTAAATTCAACTTCAACTGTATTAACATCTCAATCTAATCCACGTCCAACACTGAATTCCACTTCAACTCGAACCACTGATTCAAATGCTGACATTTATGCTTCAGCAGATACCTCATTTTCTCATCTTCCTGATTCCTTGCCGTCTCCACCTTTACCTCCTATGCCTGATTTTGTTAAGAAGGCTGATCTTCATGAGATCAGTCATCCTAGCCTTAGTAGTTCTAGTGTTAGGCCAAAGCTACGTCAGTCTACCTCACAATTACGTCTACGAAAACTCAAAGCTCAAACCTCTCGTACCACCCTCGATACGATGTTCTCAAGCGTAATCAGTCCGACAGGAGGTGTACCTACTGCCGAAAGTTGCGCTTCCGAAGGTGGTTCTACATCTCAACCTCACAATTCTGAACTTCGTACACTTGCTAGTCTTTATATGGTTTGTGGATTACCAAAAGATCCACAATGTTGGACTTTAGCTCAACCGGATCATTTACCTGCTCATCTTGATAGTGCTGTCCCCAGATTTTGGCGTCCAGAAGTTTTAGGTACTACTCTTTCAGGTCAAGATGCGGATTTGTTATCGAGTGAATTAGATAAACGTAAAACCCCTCGTGCATCTTCTCGAACTGGAAATGGAAACAATCCTCAGGATAGTGTAGCTCAGAGTAGTAGTAAAGAACAACGTAGACCTTCAGCTTCGATTCCCAAACTTTCAACACAGAATCAACTCGGTAAAGAAGAATTAGCAAGAGTTCAAGCTAAGGCGATGAAATTAGCATTTGCAAGAGAAGTGGAAGTGATTGCATCTACCATTCAACCTGCATCTACTACTCATTGTTTTAGTTTTACTATTCCGGTTCAAAATGAAACTATTACAGATGCTACTGGGGCTATTGGACAACAATGGGATCTCGGTTTAGCTGCTGCTAATCTATCAGATCATCATCAATTAAATTCGAGTAATCGACCTAAAACGTATTATGGTGCATGTTTACAAGTCTGGAGTCATGCTGATCGATCCAGATCTGAAGCGATCAGAAGAGCAGTAGAAGAAGGATCTAAAGCGAAATCAGCAGCGATTGCACGAGCAGTCAAAGCAGCAGCAGCCGGTAAACGATTTGGAGCCAGATTACAGAGAGCTACCAATAGTGCGATGGGAGTCTTACCTACACCAGATGGATTAGCCGGTAAAAATTGGTCAGTATATAATTCAGGCGGCGAAACCGATACAGATACCGAAGGATTCGTATCGGAATCAGAATGGGATGGACCCGCAAGTATGTTACCGATAGCGAGTTTACCAGGTGGTACACCTTTTTGGTTACCTTATTGTTTGATCTTGATTTCGAAAATGCCAATTTATGATTTAATGTCGGATCATTTAAGGATCTCTTGGGCTAGATATCATCAAGCTATTGGTAAACATTCACAACAAATGTTAAAGATGCTAAACTTGTTGAGTTTTTTGAATGCTTTTTCATTCGATCCTTTTTTTTTGATGATGGACCTTTGTTGATATATCTTTCCTTCTGGTTTTCGTAGTCCTTGTCCTAAACCTGGTGAAACTGTTAAAATGCCAGTTGGAGGTGCTCAAAGTGCTTCTTCTTCTACTTATTTTGTTGCGAAGATTCCAGGTAAAACGGATTTTTCTAATGGAGGATTAGAAGATGTAGATGTGAGTTTTGGGTTTTGAAATTTACAAATACTTGAGCTTAACTCATTAAGTTTCCTTTCTTCATAGTTTACAATGTGGCCTGTTTTTAAATCTTTAAGTCTTTCGAATTTAGTATCAATTTATGAGGTGAGTCACTTTTTTACACTTTTGGGCTCTATCATGTGATCACTTATGATTTGATGTTTTCTGCTCATATAGCTCGCTCTCTCACCTATGGGTAGAGTCGTGTTCTTTTCTCGATATCCAGCGATGCTCAATATGGCTGTAGAAACGTTTAGAGTTCTTTTGGAACTTCGAGGTTGGCAAGGTCTTTGTCAAAGTATTGTTCATGCTCGTGATGTTAAGATTTACCTAGAAGTGTGTTATCTTCTGTCTCTCTCGCTTGCGCTTGATTGTGGTGCTTATCTTGAGTCTTTTGTCATGTAGGATCCTGGACCGTACTTGCTTGGGATGAACAGTCAGTTGCGACCTATTACGGCCAATGCTCCTCCAGAAGTTATGATTGTCGATATTGATACCAAGTGAGTGGTTGGTTTTTATATTATCTTGGCCATTGAAGATTTTGACTAAACAATGCGAGTTTTCTTTGCAGTAATATCACGTGTCCAAGACCCCATCCACAAGCTTATTCCAAGGGACAAACCCGAATGAAGATTGAACGAAAACTTGAGGAAGCCCTTGGTACCTTGGGTGGTGCAAGAGGTGTACCAAGTGAATTTCATGAAGCTTTTCCGGGTGGTCGGTTTAGACCGTTTAGTGCTGTAGAGATCAAAGATAGTCCTTCTGAGGCTGAAAGACTTTTACCACCTGCTGAATGGAATTGGGATCAAACCAAGGCTGTGGTGGCTTTTGATAATATCTTGTCTAAAGTGGTGAGTTTCTTTTCAATGACTTGGATATCTTAATCTTGATCTTTGACACTTGAATTTTTGGTATAGCCAAGGAAAGGATTAGCTAGGGTGTTCAGGAGACAAGCATATAGACATGCAGCTCAATTAGATGCATCAGCCCAACATGTTCAAGAGATTGTTAGAAAACATACCACTGGATTCGTTGATAGGAGAGATATGTTAGAGAGTAAGATTTGGAAATTAAATCGAAGGCTGGCATTTTTAATGGCCGAATCAATGGAATGGAAACAACATTTTGATGTGTTTCAAAGATTTGCTGATAAACTATCAATCGAATCACAAGATCTCAAAACTCGACTTGAAGTAGAAAGACGTGATCATCATAAATTATCAGGAGTGGTTAGTGAACAGAAGTTTAAACAGGCTCAATTAGAATCTAGATTATTGGAAACTGAACAAGCTTGGATGGCTGCTCAAGTCGAATTGGCAAAGGCTCAAGCTATACGTGAAGGACTTGAACGTGAGAAGCAGATCATGGTATGTGCTTGTGACTTTGATCTTTCTCTGATCGTTTCTACTTACTGATTTTTTTACTGTTTGATGAACATCAGGTCACCGAAATGAAGTCCATCGCATTGGGTGATAATGATCAAAACATTCTTGATACAGTTGTACCAAGAGTCGAGAATTCTTACAACCCTTCTCGGCACAGTATGCTCCCCAATGACAATGCTTCACTCACGTCTAAAAACCTACGACGGTTTAGCGCTCAAACCCATTCACCTCATTCTCAGCCTCGTGCTTCACCTCAACTTCTTCCTCCAACTTCTTCACTCCGTGGTCATTCACCTCAACCTGTAGATGATCTTGTTTCATCTGATTTGCTTGAACAGCTTTCGATGCAATCACCATCTCAATATGCACCTTCTCCAGCTGCACATGATCGATTACATAGCTTAGATGAACTGAGCGAGTTTGATACCAGTTCTGAAGCAGAAAGTGGCATTAGTGCCATGGATGAAAGAGCTTTGTTATCAAGGACGGCAGTGATTGAAACGATGCGAAGTATTCAAGGTAGATTAGAAGCAGCTCTACGTACAGCAGGTCAATTAGATGAAGATGAGCTGAAAAGTTATGAAGCAGGTGGGATAGATGGGATTGGAAACTCACGTAAATCGTATTCAAGAAAATCAGCTGATTCACGAGATTCTAAGGTGATTCCATTATCACGTGCAAGAAGAAAACCAACGATGAATGAGAATGATGAATCATCACCTGATTCGACAAGAGATTCCTTATTAGATTGTTCTGCATTATCTAGACAGGATAGTCTTTCGACTGGTAGACCGACTACTGCTAATAATCGAGTTAGTGTTTCTAGTAATAGTACCACTTCACATCAGTATCATCCGATCACACTTTTAAAACAACGTAACAATCCACGAACTTCGGCTGTTTCACTTTTAAGACCTGGTTCTAGTATCTTTGATCGAGATCGAAGTATTACTACTTCAACGGATCTTACTACACCTGATCATACTAAATTAGAAACTGTGATCGATGGGAATGAATCAGAAGGAATTCAAGAGAGTAGTATTGAATCAACTGTATCAGGACGATTGTTTCCAGAACAAGAAAATCATCAATTAGTTGGAAGTCCTAGTCCGAATGATCATCGAAGTGAATATAACCAAAGTCCAAGCAAAAGTTTAAGTCAAACGCCAAGTTTAAGAAGAAGTGGAAAATTAAGTATAAGTGGAGGATCGATTCGAAATGGATTTACACCCACTAGTTCACATACGAATATCAATCAACCAGTTTGTATTAGGAAAGATTCGATGGATAGTTCGACCGGAGGATATGAATCGAATCCAAAGTTGATGATGAATTATAGTGGAATGATTAGATCGAGTAGAAGAAGAGATTCATCAGATACAGAAGAAGATGAGGAAGAGATCACTGAGAGTTTGGTAGATGAAGATGAAACGTTTATGAGTGCTGATGAAGATCAAGAAGAAGAAGAAGAAGGACAAAGAGGAAAGAAATCATTAAAGGTTTTAGGAACTCATCATCGTCATCATCATCATCATCATACAGGACTTGTTTATGGAACGGATGGATCAACGATTGCGGGTAATGGAGTTCAAGATCGGAATGAGATTAGTAGAGCTTCTATGGTTGGAATCCCATTGGATTGGAAAGCTTCTAATAATCCTCAGCATCATCATCAGAATAATGTTTCACCCATGACACCTAGTAGTAGAGGTTCATTTATTTCGAATACTAGTTCTAGTACGGTTAGAAAGTTTCTTAGAAGAGTTTAAGTTTTCTTTATGATTTGGTGAAGTTCTTTGATGGGTTTTGAAGTTTTTTTTTTCATGGGATTATTAAATGAAGGAATGAATGAAGTTTTTGATTTTTTGAGTTTCTTTTTTGATTGATTAATGAATGAATTGGGTTTTTTTTCGCTTTTGGTTTTCTTTTACACTCGTTTTATTCCTTTTTTTTTGATTGCTTTTTTTTCTTGATTTTTTTTTCGTTTTCATCATCATCTTATCATCATCATTCTGGATTTGTTTCTTTTCATATGAAATCTTTTTTATGATTAGATTACAGTTAAAGATTTAAATTTAAAAGAGGAGGAAGTAAAGTATTTGTTTTTTTTTGTTTTTTGTTTCTTTTTACAGTAAATGTGTTTTTTTTTCTTAGTATCATTTTTTTATATACTTGAAATTTGGATTTAATTCAATTTTTGAACATTTTTTTTTTTTGAAGAATTCAGTGATATATATTTTAATTAATTATAGTGCAATATATCAATAAACTTTTAAACAGATGATTATTGGGATTCAATTAGGATTCAAGAATGGATTTGTGAAAGAATCAAGAGAAAATGTAAAAGTTGATGACAAAAATCTTGTGACATGATACTACAACTATGTACAAGAACTATAAAAGATGACTAAAAGGATCTTAAAGAGTCTTTTTTCCATCTTGAACAAGGATTATCATAGATCTTAAATTGGATAACAATTTTCTTTGTATGTGATTAGATGTTAAGATATACTGACTTGATTGATTGATGATGATTGCTTTTGAAGTATATAAGCTTGAACATGTATAACAAATGGATTGACTTTTTTTTCAACACTTTAAACATCATGGTTTTATTCCTATTGATATGAAAAGATTATAAATGTTGGAAAAGATTCTATGTTATGATTTGGTTTGTGGGGTTTTGAAAGTTTGAAGAATTGGTTTGTGAATGGAAAAAAGGAAAGTTGGTAAATCAAACTTTGGTGGTCAAAAAAACTTGATCAGGTGTTGATGCTATGTTTTGAGGAGGCACGAGGAATAACGCAAGTCCATGAGTTGGAGCTTGGGAGAAAGACCTAGCTAGGTCAAAGAACCACCTTAGTGGCGCTAGAGAGAAGGATTCCACACTGTCCTGACCTGACTGGACGACGGTTAGGAAGCAGACTACGTCACGTCATGCTGGTGTTGGGATTGGTAATCCTCGCCATAGCAGTGACACCTCTGAGAGGTCATCTACTGATCTCTCCTTTGTTTCCTCCCTTTGGGACAAAAGGCACTTCTAACTCTCTCACGTAGAAGTCCTATTAGCCTTTCTGTTCTCCCCGTTTTTCTCTCACGTCTCTCTCTTAGCTCCGCTCGCCCTCGCTCCTTTTCAAACCCCTCTTCTCAAAGTTTTTTTGCCCACCCTCCCTACGGGTTTGAGGAGCTCTTTTCCTACTCTCTGTCCCGCCTCCGCTAAGTCAGACATCTGACTAGCAGGGTGCTTTTTTTTTTTTTTTAAAGTGCGATTGTTATGACATTACACACTAAGTTAATCTAGAACAATTTGATAAAAGGTAAATACAATCTTTTTCTTTTTATCTGATACGTTTGGTCTGCAGCATCAACTCTTAAAAATCCTTCTGTTTCCTTGTGATTTCTGTTATGTTATCCCATTTGTTTGATTGTAATAGAAAAAAGAAAACTCAAAAAGTGAAAGGCCCTTTATCTCTGTCCTCCTCTTGTAAAAACTCGTCTCTTCTTCCTTGACTCTCCTACCAACCCCCCTACATCGAGAGCCCACCTCGATGCGAAGTGAGATGTACTTCTACCCGGGTGCCAAACCGGGTGCCTGGTGATGTGGTCGGCCAGAGGTAGCTGGTATTCGAGTCAATTCTGATTCAACTGTTTTCCCCCTTTTGTGTTGATCCCTAAACATATATTTAATCTGATGTATAAATTCTTCCACAATGTAACTGTTGTTAACCAATAAAATGCCATCCTATATGTAGCTTCTCCCTTGTGAGTTGTCTGAGATTTGGGAATAAAAGAAAAGAAAAAAGAAAAGAAAAAGAAAAAGAAAAAGAAAAAGAAAAAGAAAAGTCAAAGAAATTCTGAAATCGTTATCTTGATGTTTTCAACTTCTATGATGTCTTGAGTTCGTTTCAATTTTCCTCGTGTTTGTGTCTTCTATATATGTCTTTAAGTTTTTAAATCTTCCAGTTTTTTGACAATACCTCGCTAATAATGTGAATCCTTGTGGTGTATCTATTAGGGATCACGGTTTCTGGTCTCAGAACGGAGACGTCAAAAACAAAGAGGAAGATAAGATAAATGATTATTCTGATAAGAAAAGAGAGCAACAAAGTTCTAGAAAACAACAGAGTATATATATGAGAAATGACAACATTGAAATCAAATAAGATCACAGCTATTCACGTTCCTTGTTCCTGATTATAAATCTTATACATACGTCATGTTGGTTAACTAGCTATCATAAGATATTAGCCCTATCTTCTTAGACGTTTTAATACAAACTTCTAACACTGTGAAAGGTTCATGACAAATTATGACCTCCCTGATACACAAACAGGCAAAAAATTCGTGACCGCCTTCACATACCCAAGTCTTGAGTGGCTTGTTTAGGCTCACAGAGGTTGGCAAGTCACAACAAAAATCCATTGTGTAAAGTAGCTAATGAGATAAACTGTTCTTCATCGACACATCGCTTTGCTCTCACTATCCATACGTGGTGACCAGGTCCAGGTCCTAAAGCGGGGCTGAGGCGGTGAAAACGTTCAAAAAATGTATCCAAAGATAATGGTAGCTGTGTCAAGGGTAGCCATTGATCTTCCAACGATGAAGTATCCCCAAAGCGTAGGAGATACTCATGAACACCTAACGAATCCACGCGATAATCCAGGATTGTCCTGATTTGCAATTCTTCTTGGAACAAAAGCGTTCCCCAACGAGTTCTTTCCGCCGCAGAAAATTCTTGACTTTTCCCTACAAAAGGCATAAGTAGAGAAACATTGAACACTGGGTGGAGACGTTTCAACTCTGAGGGCAAATCCAACTCAGCTGCGTTTCTTCCCACCATTATCACTACCCGAAATGGTCCCAGTCGTTGCACATCGAGCTTGTTGTTCGGTCGACGCGTCTTCAGATGTCTCCTTGCAAGCCAGACTAGCTCTCCAGGTTGATAAACCTTCTCCACTCGTCGCTCCTTGTTGTAATATCGTGATTGAGTTTCTTTCACTTGGGCTAAGTTGGCCGTGAGTCGACTCTGAATATCTTGAATATGAGCCACAAATTTGTCAGCATTCGGACGTCCTGAAGAACCCGTTAAAGAATTAAAACAAGGGTGATACCCCTGAAGCGCAAAGAACGGCAACATCTTAGTTGAGCTTGAAGCCGAGTTGTTATACGAGAATTCTGCCATAGGTAACCAACGTGACCAGTCGTCCTGCTCTTCCGAAACGAAATGTCTCAAATAATCCTCTAACAACGCATTGAGACGTTCCACTTGGCCATCCATTTGGGGATGAAAGGCAGTGGAAGGTGCCGGTGACACACGTAGCAGTTGCAATACACTCGTCCAAAACCCTGATACCAACGTGGTACCTCGATCAGAGACAATAGCATCTGGTAAACCATGAAAACGAAAGACTTGAGCTATAAACGCCATCGCCAAATCATCAGCCGTCCAACTTTCTTTAGCAGGAATAAAATGCGCAGCTTTGGAAAAGTGATCTACCACCACCATCACAGAATTGAAATCATCCAAAATTGGTAATTTTACGATGAAATCAACTCCTATGGTTGACCAAGGACAATCCGGCACGGGTAGTGGAATGAGTTGACCTTGAGGAGGACGATGGTCTACCTTCACCTGCTGACAGCTGGTGCACTGACGGAGATAATTCAAGACATCTGTTTGCAGATTCAGCCAACCAAAAGAGCGCGTCAGCTGATCCAAGGTCTTCATGCTTCCCCAATGACCACCCCTGTAGGCGAATCATGGAATTGACTCAAAACTTCCATTCTCAACGTCTCTGGAACGTAGACTCTATCACGCCACCACCACAAACCCTCCAAAGAGTATAGGAAAGCGGGGTGTATGCCTGCAATCAAATCATCCGTATGGTAAGCGCTAACAATCTTTTGTTTCAACTCATCAGAGATAGGCATGTAAGCAGAGACATCAAAACTCCCCGGGTTACGTATGTGGATCACATTTATCCCTGCATCTTTAATCTCTCGCTGGCCTAGCAAAACAACCTTCGAAGAATCTCTCTTCCCAGACACAAAATCTGAACGTCTTGAAGCGGGATCGGCTGGATTTGCTTTACCTGGAGTATGTAAAATCTCAAAGTTGAATTCCCCCAAAAACGTTGCCCAACGCGCTTGTCGTGGAGTCAAAGCCTGCAAAGTCATGAAGTATCTTAAATTAGCATGATCTGACAAAACGACCACAGGTAACTTAGTCCCCATCAGCCAAGCTCGCCATTTGTGAAAACAGGCCACAATTGCCCCCAATTCTTGGTCATGGATCTGCCAACGTCGTTCTGCTTCAGTCAATTTCTTCAAAAAGTAAGCCACCGGTCGCAAATATCCTTGATCTGATTTCTGTGACAGGATTCCTGAATAAGCGTATCCAGAAGCGTCTACCTGTACAACACGGGGCAAATCGAAGTCAAAGTGGAGTAAAAAAGGTGCCTCAGAAAACAAACGACACAGCTCATTAAAAGATCTCTTTGCCTTGTCCGCTTTCAAACCCATTGCCACGTCCGCAGTTTTTGCCGTGAGGGCCGTCAAAGGTCCCACTATCCCGGAAAAATTAGCAATAAAGCGGCAATTAAAATTTGAAAAACCTAAAAAAACGCTGTACGTCTGACAAGTCTTGAGGAAAAGGCCAATCTGCTATAGTCTTGAGTTTTGATGGGTCCATGCTAATGCCAGTCGTTGAAATCACAAAACCTAAAAAGACAACTTCAGTGGCGAAAAACTGGCATTTTTCTGGTGAAGCCGTCAATTTATGTTCTGACAATTTTGACAAAACCTTTTTGATATGCTGAGCATGATCCTCCGCATTCTTCAAAAAAATTAGTATATCGTCCAGATAAACGAAGCAAAAGACATCTAAAAACTCCCTAAGCACCCATTGAATGAACCGCTGGAATACAGCGGGCGCGTTAGCAAGACCAAAAGGCATCACGGTATATTCAAACAAACCCCAAGGTGTTCGAAATGCCGTCTTCCATTCGTTGCCTTCAGCCACTCAAAGTAGATTGAATGCTGCTTTTAGGTCAACTTTTGCAAAATGCTTGCAACCTCTCAACTGGTTCAGCAACCAAGACATGACTGGGATAGGGTAACTATCACGCTTGGTTATCTTATTGAGCCCACAATAATCAACACACGGTCTGTTCTTTTTACCTGGAGTTTTCACAAAGAAGATTGGGGCAGCGGCTGAAGACTTAGATGGTTGAATGAAGCCCTTACTTAACTGATCATTAAGGTAAGATTTTAACTCAATCTGCTCGTCAGGGGCAAGGTTATATAACCCTCCAAATGGAGGTTCGCAACCCGGTTTAAGATCAATTGCAATATCAAACGATCTATGGGGAGGCAATACAGATTCCTGTGGAGAAAAAACATGTAAGTACTTTTCACAACTCTTTGGAAGATTAAAAGGAAAGGACTTGCCGGGGGGGGAAGAGGAGTTTTTGAAGAGATCAAATCGGAAATAGCTGTCTTGATGTCTATAGGGGAAGAGAAAGAAATGATTGAAGACTTAGGCTCACAAGAGACTAAAGATAAATCAACAAGTTCATCTTCCACTACACATGCAGACACCACATTTCCTCCTATTTTGAGCCATCTCCCCTTCTTACTCAACAACAAAGTCACCTCATTTTCCATCATCCAAGGGAAGTCTAAAATCACGTCATGACCATTCCCCAACTTCGTCGCGCCTAATTTTGCTTTAAACTTCAACCACGCTCCATCTACATCTACCACATCCATCACACCACACCATTCTTTTGTAACACTCGCACTCGAACCCCCATCAAATCCCGAAACTCTCTGTGGAACAAATTCTTTATTGAGATTCAAACAATGTAAATCAGCAAAACCATAATTGATGAAGCTGTCACTAGCACCAGTATCCACGAGTGCCATTACTGCAATGGGAAGATTGTCAGAAACAATACGTAATGGAACTAAAAACCAATGTGGGTTATTTCCATCCGCCTGAACTTGAATAGCATCTACCCGAATTTCTTGCACCGTGGGTTGATAGTTTTCTGACATCGCTGCAGGGTAGTTGGGTGTCAATAAATTCTCCCAGAACGACTCAACAAAGCGGGTGGTTTAATCAATAGTTGCTGTCGGCAAGGAGGTGTAGGCGGCATATTCTGCATCTTCTAAATCCATTGCTGAAATCTGGGTAGGTTGACCTGGAGCGGAATTCAAAGACAAGTTGACAGATGATCGTAAAAGTTTCAACTTATCTTCCATTCGTGCTGGTGGGTTAGGACAAGATCTCCTACCATGCACGCCTCTCAACCTCTTGTGTTTGTCGTCGTAAACCTTCAAACAGTCGTAACATAGACGTTGGGAGTTGCAAATACGACGAATAGCGGGAAAAGGATTGGAACCGTCTTGCTGAAGAGATAATTTGTTGACGACAATGTCCATAGGGATCGGTCCATTGTTGTTGCAACTATTCAAAGCTTGGTGTTGAAGTTGATGATGAATCGGTTTTGACAAGGGGTGATGATTGGGGTGCCGATACACTTCACCAGGAACCTTCAAATGCGGATGCATGTGAGCTACCTTTGATCTCAGATCCAGGATGTCAGCCGCTTCCACTGCCATCGCCTGCTTGCGTGTCAAATCAGTTTTGTTAACCCAACCTGCCACTCTTGCTGCTTCCATCTGAATACTTGGGTGAAGGACTTCAACGTATAATAAGATTTTGTCTTCAGGGGTTTTCTTGACGTGAAGAGACAACATTTCAAATTTCAAATTATAGTCAATGATAGACATCTTACCTTGTTTACACGCTTCTAGTTATTCTCGACAAGTTTTGTCTGCATGTTTGTCTCCAAACTTGTAGATCAGCTCGTCTGAAAAGTTGTCCAGATTCAGTAATTTGGGAATGTCGTAACTCAAAGCCTTCAAATTGCCGTATGGATTCAAGTAACCTTGACAAAAAGCATTCCTCTGTAGTAAACCCATGAACCAGATCTGAGTACTTGAAGAATTTGATGAAGTTGAATTAAAATGCCTAGCAATCCAATTGATCTTCGATTTGTCATCCTTCCATACAATTTGATCTAATTCGTCATGAATTTCCACCAAAAATCTTTGCAAACCTTTCGCATCACCATAATAACAAAGATTCTCTTGAATCTTGGGAGCTCTGGAGTCCGTCACCATCTCTACCGTTGGTGCTCTAGAAGTGGGTCTTGCCGTAGGCGTCAATCGCTGTTGTTGACCAGCTTGCGGTTGATGTTGATACTGTCCAAATTCTGGTTGTGGTGGAGGCTGGTGATGCATATGTGGGGGAGCGGCAAAGTTTGACCCGTTTTGAGAGAAATGGAACTGAGATGGTGCTTGCTGACTCATCTGAGGGTTGGCTGCCTGCGCAAAGTGGAAAGGAGGCGGCTGATGATGCATCTGCGGTTGAAAAGGAGGCTCCTGATTCTGAGGGAACTGTGGAGTCGCGAACGGAGGGGGTGGGGCATTTTGAGCAAAATGAGGTTGATTCTGCGCAAACTGAGGTACGGTTTGTGGCACAAAATGCGGAGGCAGATCTGTAAAACAAGGGACTTGCGGCATTGAGTAACGTGGAGGAGGAGGTTGAAGATCAGGTGGTGGTCCGTTCGGCCAAACTGGACCAGGTGGAATAAATCCCGAAATGTTTGCTTCAAGACCCCACTGTTGTTGATACCTCTGTGCGAGGACTCGCCAACTTGGTTTGCCCGTAGGAGGAGGGTGTGGGCCGTGGGGTACCTGTTGTCCTGATTGGTTCAAATTTCTTCTGTTAGTTGCAAAATCCAAATTACTCATTCCTTGAGCTAATCGTGAAACGGGGGACTAAGCATGAGGAAGACGGGTGTTGCGATGATTCAGAGGGGAGTCTATTCTGATAGCATGAGGATCCAAGAGCTCACTGCTAGTACCTTGGTGTGGAGGCTGATCTCTTCCAAAAATCGAAGAAACTGTTGGGCTTTCTTGTCCTTCTCTCCAGGGATTCATTCTTGCGAGATTGATGAGTCCGTCTCTAGATCTGATACTGAATCTGAGAGTGAAGTCGGAGGTGTGAGAACTGGGTCTGGGTAACGAAGGCGTCAATCCAAATACAAATGTTCGTATACTTCTAGATCAAAGTAATACTCCCACGATCGTTGGAAAAGCAACTGTGACATAATCGGAGTGATCAGAGTTGAATCCAAAAATGGATTCTCTTCTGGGGTTTCGAAATAAGGTAACTGTCGAAAAGTTGCTAATAGTTGACAGGGATCTTCAATTGGTATTTGAAAAAAAGGTAAGTTAGTAAAGGAATTTAATAAATCTTCTGTCAAAATCTGCACTGGATGAATATATTGATATCTAAAAGCTTGTGAAAATGAAAGATGTTGAGAAATGTGTAACATAAACTAAAAAATAAAACACACGATGAAAAGAAAATTGAAGAGTCGAAAGAAATGTAGTTTTTCTTAAAAGAAGGAATGAAAAAATTATTATTTTATTAAAAAGGTGATCTAAATGATCTGAAGAAAACAAATTTATTGATAACGTTTTTCAAAAAGTAGCGTTCAAAGAAAGAAGATCGGAATAAAAGTGTAATGCTCTGGGATGTACGTAACTTAGATACTCGGGTTGGAGTAATCTTTTGGTGAGGCGCGAAGCAATTCTTTAGGGATCACGGTTTCTGGTCTCAGAACGGAGACGTCAAAAACAAAGAGGAAGATAAGATAAATGATTATTCCGATAAGAAAAGAGAGCAACAAAGTTCTAGAAAACAACAGAGTATATATATGAGAAATGACAACATTGAAATCAAATAAGATCACAGCTATTCACGTTCCTTGTTCCTGATTATAAATCTTATACATACGTCATGTTTGTTAACTAGCTATTATAAAATATTAGCCCTATCTTCTTGGACGTTTTAATACAAACTTCTAACACTGTGAAAGGTTCATGACAAGAATGTGATTTCTCACCAGAAATTGCTCAAGTGAACACTCCCTTGCTCATTTGTATTGAGACCATGAGTGAGCTAATGTGATTTACATGTTTTTGGTAAGTTGGTTTGTCTAAACCTCCATCATGATGGTTGAGGAACCATGGTTCCTGGTAATGTGGATAAATTTGGACTCCTAATACACTGTTTGTTCAATAATTTTGTGTTTTGTTGTTTGTTGGTCACCCCTTTAGGGGCTTATGATTTATCAAGCAATGCATTACCCTAGATAATTTGCCTTTGGAATTCACCTAAAATCTTTTCTTGTCTTTGTCATTTGAATTTTTCTATATGTACTAATTAGCTTTTGTAAGTTTCATGTTCCATATTTGTTTTTTATAACTCAACTAAATTCACCTGAACTTGATGAGCCTCCTCCTGAACTCTGATTCCTGTATCTTGATTATTTCTCGGAGTATTGTGGGACATGCATGGATCTGTGATTCTAAGATCTTGTTGATACAATGAAAGTTTGAGATCTAGAAGATCAATTCTAGTTCATCCTGAAAAGCTTGCACAAATCTTCTGATATGTAAATGTTGAACAAATCCTCAGCCAAAACTTGCAACAAGCACTGTGCCCCTGGAGGCCGCCCTAGACATCGGGGGCCCTCAAGAGTACAAAGGCAACCCTTTGTACTTGTTGGAGCCCCCGATGTCTGGGGCAGCCCACACGGGCACTGTGAAGCTTTTTGAGATCAGATGCACCTCTTCAAGAGAGTGTATGAAGTTGATTATTTTATATTATTCTTGGCTTGAGTATAGTTTTGCAATACTTGGCTTAGCCTTGTCTTGGTATACCGCAATAAAATACAAATCAACACATCCTTTTCTATCTTCTAGGCTCCATCCAGCTCCCTCCTAAGTCGGCCTCTGGATCATCACCAAACTCTAACATCTTGCTACGTATGTTGTGTTCATGAGAGCAAGTATTTTTGTAGAATTGAAGTGTCTGAAGAAATAAGCTTCCGATTTGGATGATCACATTTCTTTTGTAAAAAGCTTATTTGAAGTGTTTGTCCGAAAAACTCAGATGAGCGGGATATTTCCATTGAAGGCTCAAGCACAGCACAATACAGGTTGAATTAGATACAGATGGTGAGTGTGACGTCATTTAGAAAGATACATTTTCTTGATTTTGATGATTTCTCCATATCTTTCCTTGTTCTTCCCCTCTTTACCATCCATCAACTTATCATATCATATCATATCATATCATTCTCAGTCTCATTCTCATTTGATTTGATTTGAACATTTGGTCTTTCTGTAATCGAAATACTTATAACCTGAATACTATACATCCCTTTTTATTGTTCTAACTTATAACAACATGGATAACCTCATCAATTTAGTCAGTCTCACTCAAATCAATTGATTCTTACCTATTGTCTTATCCTTTCTTTTTCGATCGATTGCTGAGTTTTCTTCATTTTAATAGGGTACCAAAGCTTTTAAGCAATATTCAGATAGCAACAACCAATCTTCTCACTCACAAGGTGGAGAAAGTAACGGACATGGTGTTACTGGTGGATCTCATCTCAATCAACCAAGTGGTGGTCAAATGATCGATGCCGATGGTGATGGTGTGTTACTATCTCGTACCTTTTTATTTGGATATCATGATCATTGACTTTGAACGCGTTCATTTTGATTTGAATTCTAGGTATTCCTGATTTCCAACAAGCTGCTCATCATGCTAATGCGGAAGCAGGTGATTCAGCCGATGCGTGTCAGTGAATCTCATACGATATATTATCTTCGACTTGATCATATCAAACTAACGAGTTTCTTTTGCAATACATAAGCACTCTTCGCGAACGCAATGTCTTTCCTCAAGAATCGAGACAAGAACGATGATGAGATTGATGAATCAAGTGCAACAGAAGCTCATGATCGAGCGTATAACCAAGGTCAAGGTAATTCACTAGATGCTAAATCGATGGGTGCAGCTGCTGCACTTCAAGCTTTTAAACAATTCACAAGTGGTGGTGGAAGTTCAGGTGGCAATACAGGGGGAGCCGCTAGTGGTGGTGGTCAGAGTAAACTTATTGGGCTTGCTATGGCACAAGCCGCGAAATTGTTTGATAAGAGTGGTAAGGTTACTTTATTAATTTATATCAAACAATTGAAAGTCAATGATCTGAGCCGAGGTTTGTTTGAGTAGGTGGTGCCTCGAGTGGTGGAAAACAAGATGCTGTGAATTCGGCAGGTAATATGATCATGAAGGTGAGTTGAATTTTGGAATTTGTTGATTGATGTATCTTTGATTTATAATTTATGTAAATGTTTGTAGCTCGTTATGAAACAAAAGATGAACCAGATGATTGGAGGTGGCAATAGCGGAGGATTGAGTGGATTGGCAAGCATGGCTGGCAAGTAAGTCAATAAACAGTAACATCATGGAGATCATTTCAAAATTGACTGGTTTGTTATTATGTTCTAGGTTCATGTAGACTAGAGTCACGTCAAGATAAAAAATGGGAGGCAATACCGTCACATAAGCCTCATGTTGTGCTGTCTCTAATTGTCTTGCACTTGTGTCTGCTGTGGAGGTCAAGATATGTTTGCTCCTTGGTGTCACTCTTGAGGTGAAAAATGTAAAGGTCTTTTAGGCTATGTAGCTATGTATGACTATACTCAAATTCCTTTTGAAAGTTCTGATCATCCAGATACTTTGAATCTTCTTCATTGTTCCTTGTTTGAACCTCCCTCTTGGATTTGGTAAGATCAAGGAGCCCAATGTATCTTTGGAAGGATGTGGGCTTGAGCAATACCTGTTGCATGAGACAACTTAAACCCTCAACACTTCCATGAGATTTGTAGACTTTTGAAAACTAACAGTCTCAGAGTTCAAAGTCTTGAGATAACCATTTTCAAAATTTGACTTTGGATTAACCAAATAAGCAATAAGAAGTCATCTCTTAGTGTGGATTGCCTTCAAGATATGCTACAAATCGTGTTGTCTTGGTCAGAGGCAATTGAGAAGGACCCCGGTATGCTTCTATAAGGGTAGTCACAGAATTGTGACTTTTGAGCTCCGCGGAGATGAGCCCCTGCCAAACCACTAAGTCTTTCCCTGGCTTCACCCATAGCTCTAGGACAGGTTTTATCCTAAACAATAGAAAGAGTGGCAATCTGTGGCAATAAAGCAAAGGCAGAAACTGGCAGATCTCTATAATCCCATGTGGAGTATCTCTGCAGGAGCTCGAAAGTCACAATTCTGTGTGACTACCCCTTATAGGAGCATACCAGGGTCCTAATTGAGACCCAAAAAATATTACAGCTCGCATAAGGATACTGGAAAGAATACTTGAGGAGACCAACTAGAAGTAAATAGGAAAGAAATACTGTAAACATTTTACAGTATCCCCAAGTGAGAATGGGAAAATATTGAGATTGTAGTTTGTCATGAAAAGACAAAACACCACAAACCTGAGCCATAGTACTTGCAATACATATGTGCAACAGGATGGGAAAATTTGGAGCCATCATGTAGATACAGAGCCGCTCAGCTATTGGCTCATCTGAATGAGTAGCTCATATGTTGTAATACCTTCTGTAATTTTTCTCAGTTTGCAAAAGCATTCCAAGAATTGACTACATACACTGACTTGTAGTTTTGGTGTAATTGCATTAACTAAACTTCATGTAACAACCATTCATTTATTGTTGAATGGCTTTCCAAGTATTGCCTGAGTAGCTATGGAGGTATATGTAGTCAATTTTTGGTACAATTTTGTCAAACTGGAAAAAGTTACATGACATATCACATGTGACTTAACTATTTCCAGGATGGGGGCGCAGCCTTAAAAAAAAGGCACACCCTGGCATGTTTTGTGAAAAAGGGCGTGTCTAGGCGCCACTGGCGCGTTAGGCGCGGCCTTTCACCGCGCAAAAATGAAAAAAAAACATGAAAAAAATGTGAAAAAATCCAGGAAATGCATTTTAACCAACCTTAAATACATATTTGTTGCTGATGAGGTGGAAGATGGATTGTTTGAAGGTCTATTGTTAATTGAAGTTGATTCATAAAACAACTTGAAATGGATTTTATAAGAAAATAACCACGTGGAAAGCCCCACTTTCTCACTATGAGGCATACAGGCCTTTGGGCACGCCCACCTTGTTTCCGAGATGTTTAGGCGCACCTGGGAGACCTAATGAATACATTCAATCCATATTGCACTATCTCACACCTTTCTAAAGCTTTAAAAAGCTTTCAATCCCATTGAAACATAAAATCATGTTCAATGAATCACTGAATAGGTTATCCAAACACAATAGCATCTTAATTCAGGCAGGAACATAACTTATGTACAAATTTCCTCAAGAAGCAAGACCCTAGAATATTTATTAATTCAGCTTTTCAAGTCTTTGTCAATGTGTATTAAGACTCAAAATACCTAGCTTTGCCATGTACAAGCAGACGCAAAAAGTTTACGTCACCCCGGGCCCCGACCAGCTTGATTCTGCAGTACACCTCTCGGGTTAGTGAACTGGTCGGGCCCAGGGGGTGACGTAAACTTTTTGCGTCTGCTTGTACATCCCCTTTTTAACTCCTTTATTTGCTCCTGGTTTCTTGTCAATGCCAAATATATCATACAGAATGAATGTTGGTAGCTGCATAGTAACAAAAGCAACTGCATAACCTAAACTATGGTATGGGTATCTTTGATGCTGAGACTCAGGGATCTGGGTTAGACATTTTGCAGACTGTTATCATGTGATCTCACTTCAAAAGAGTCAAAAGAGAATCAAAACAGGTTTACCGTTTGAGTCACTACTTCCAGAAATTATGCATGATCTATTATGTAAACTAGGTAATGCTTTGCTTTTCTGTATAATTTTCTACTATAATATCAGTTCAGTGCCTTGGTGGAGATTCAATATGTTCTCATTTTGAGACAATTGGACACATAGACTCCCAGTCACTTGAAGGAAATCAGAATTGCACACATCTGGAGTGGATTTGATGAGTGGTACATATCAAGCTCAACTTGGTAGCAAAGTGAAAAGGTCTTGCCCAAATGATCAACTTGGAAACATGATCACATGTATTCTTGATCACAGTGCTGATCTGTGGAGTCTGGAATTGATGTTAAGACCTAGATGTTTGGCTTAGCCTTTATCCTCACAAAACCCCTTGATCAATCAACTGAATATTGAGTTCAAATCACAGGTGAAATGGGAGTTACATCTGAAGACTGCACACAAGCTGATAAAAGTGATGATCTTGATTTGATTGATCCAGCTGTTTCAAGAAAAAACACCATCCTTTTTTTCATTTTAAAGTTGCACTAAAAATCACAATGTAGACTCTACATAAGAGCTGTAATTGACTTTTTCAAGGGTGCAAAGGCAAAATATCACAATTGTTGCTTCCTTTGTATCCACAATTCACAGCCTTTGGAGCTTTTTCAAGGCTTGACGTGAGGCTTTAACATTTAGCACATCATTGACTACAGCTGCTTGTATGTAGAGTCTACATCAGTAATTGATTCTTAGTGCAACCTCAAAATAAAAAAAAACAAGGAGGATGACATTTTTTCTCAAAACAGCTGTATAATATTTGATGAACTCAGATTAACATCTTGAAAAATCTTCATTCCCAATCCACATAATTCGTAAGATGGCTAAAGACTTTAAGCCAAACTTCATACAATTGCTTAAAATGTACCTCACTAACATATCAGCATCTACTAGTATGCCATGAGCTCTACCCCCAACTGACTTTTCACCATGTCAAAGTCTGCTATTGAATGCAATACGTTACAGCAGTTTCAAGAATAAATTTCACCTGTTTTTTTGTTTTTCTATTTTTGTAAGGTTGAACTAAAAATTATTGACCTGGATTCTACATAGAGCAGCTGTAGTCAATGGGAAGCTCGTGAATGATAAGCAAGATTGTGATCTTTCACAATCTTTGCACCCTTGAATAAGTTGACTACAGCTCTTATGGCGGATAAGCTTTAGTATAACCTTGAAAAACAAAAAAATAGAAACAAGCAGGCAACATTTATTCTTGAAACTGCTGTACAAAAATTAGTATTAGACGGATATCAAATCTTTGAAAAGATCAAGTTACTCATTGAGGAGTTAGGCAAAGCACAAACTTAACTAAGTCCCATTGTGCCGGGGTTTATACATAGCAAGCAATGACCAAGGCACAAGGAAAGCACATACCCGCTCCACTTCCTGGTCCACCAGCCCATATCCAATCTGAGGCATTTGAATCTGTTGTTGCAAAGTAAAGGTAACATCAGGGTGGCTCAAAGCAAAAAGGGGTATGATAACAAAGTGTATATCTTTATACATAATTGAAACACTCTTATGTGTGAAGACCTGTGAAAGCCCCATTCAGGATTTTCACCTGTTGATACCCACCTAACAACAAATGAGATAATTTGTTTCAAAACAAAGTTGAAAATGTCAATCAAATGAATGACTTTTTCTTACTCCTTATTATTTCTTTCCACCCCATTTCCAAAAGAATTACCTCTTGAAGTCCAGAAATCAGTATCCATGAGCTACCAATAAATAATTATCTGGCCACATGAGCTAAATTTTCATTTTTATTGGCAGTACATACTGCATGGACAATAGAACCCACTGTTTACAATTTAGCATCTTACCCTACCTCAGAAGGGAAATATCAGGCCAGATCAGGGTCCAGACTTTGTTCCGCAATCTCCAATCAATGGATCTACATAATAATTGGTTTAGAAGACCTTGAAAACATTGTTATGAAACATTGATGTAATAGTATCAATCTGTGCCCCTGTGAGAAAGGTGGTCACTTGTTCATACCTCTTGAAAATAAATCAGACACACAAACTAAACATATGTAGAGGAGACAAGACAGCATTGGAACATTGATGACAAAATCTTCAACCTCACATGAATCATTTTTCCTTGTAAGTCAAACACACGATCTTTAAATTTGAAATATCTTTTTTCATACAAAAACATTATATTTTCTATATTACAAATCCCACCAATCAATCAAAAACTCTCAAAGATCTCCTTCAGAAAAAACAAACTAAAAAATGTTAATAATTTATAATGTTCATCATCTATCAAATTTCAAATTCACCTTCATTTAAAAACGGTTTATTTAAACTTTTTAAAGCTAAATCACATAAAACACATTTAGAAGCTAGTAATTCATCTAATTCATCTTTACATTTATCTAATTCATTTCTTTTTTCACCAATTTTGATCTTATTTTGTTGTTGTTGTTGTTGATTTTCGATTTTTTTATTCATAAGTTTATTACTTTGATTTTTAGTCTTATTATTATTATTTAGATTCTCTAATGAAGAAGATGATGAACTTTTCGATTCGATTGGATTGTTCAATCTCAATTTATTGAGTTTTGCAAGTGGTAAAACCCCACCTAAAGCCCCTACACTTGCTCCTACACTACCTCCAATCACTCCCACTAATGCATCAGGTATGATTAATCTTCTAACTTGATCTAATCCTTGAACACTTGCCATTGCTAATTTCTTACTATCTGATAATAAATTCGATACTTCTGAATTCATGGTTCCTTTTTGATTTTGATTTTGAGAATTAGATTGTGATAATTTAGTCTGTAGAGTTAACATCCTTCTTAATTGATGTGGTGACATATGTTGAGTAACTTCTTTAATTAAACAATCAGCATGAAATGAATGTTGACACGGGAAAATATAAAACGCTCTAGTAACTAATTTTTCGTCACAACTTTGACAATGGTCAGATTGATTAATAATCACAAATCGATTTGAAAGTTTTTCTAAATCAGTCTTAATCAATTCAGCTGATTTACTTGATTCATTCATTTCTTGTTTTAACTTTTGTATATGTATTGAATAATGATCAAGGGCATCACAAATATCTTCTTTAAAATCGTCAATCACTACGAAATCTGGAAAGAATGGTAAGATATCTTCAATTTTCAATAAATCTGTGGATTCTAAGAAATTCATGGCTGTCTTTATATCTTGTTTATGATGTACTACATATTTGGCAATCTTCAACCAAAGTTTCTTTCTCAATAATTGATCATCATCTGGTTTATCTGCATTAAGCTTGGCTAATTCTAGATCACCTGTTTGTAATGCTAAATCAACACTACTTTCATATAATCCCATCTTGCCGTAAATCAAACCACAAGATTGCAATTTTCCATGATTCTTACAAACCCTTAAAGCGTAATCAAGATCGTAGTAAGGTTTTCCCGTTAACGGATTATCCGGAGTCGATGCTAGGAATCGAAGTAAAGCTGACTCATCCGCTTCAGGTTGAGTTGCATAGAGGGTTAAGAGTGCATTATGTACAGGTGCATCTGTGTTATCTAGTCGAGCAATCGCATACTTGAGGTATCCTATCACGATCTCAGTATTACCAGTATTTGCTTGTTTCTTGCTAGCTGAACGTGGTGGGAGCAATGCAGGTATGAGTCTTCGTACATCTATCTTGGGTTGTCTCATAAATGCTGTTGTTGCTCCTCTCGGTTCGTTTCGTACCAAGATCGGCGCAAACTGATAATATAGTTCTAAATCGTCTTGTCGACTTAAAGCTTCGATGGCTTGAGTCCAGTTCTTTTCGAGTATATGATGTCGAATGATCCTATCAGAGTCTCCCACCAAAGTAGCGTAATGGATCATCACGTCTTTACGACCGTGAGTGGTGATTAGATTATATGTCGTTTTCGGATCCAGATTAGTCTAGAGGGCAATCAACACACATGTCAGACGTAGGAACGACCGTGCAATCGAGTCTCAAATAGAAAACTAACCTTGTAGGTTCTCAAAAACTGTCGCAATTCATCTTCCACCATCTCTTGTTCAACCTTTAAGTTGGCAGTGTCTTCATCTGAAGAACCAGAAGCGGCGAGATCTTCTAATTCATTGATCTTGGCAAGATAGATCTCAGTAAGCCAAGTTGCTAACATCATTCGCTGTGTCAAATCCTATTGTGGATGCAAAAACAAATGATCAAAATCAAGTTCAAGATTCCTCTGATCACTAGAAAGATCTTACGTGTCGTTTGAGACGTTCAAGCCGACTGATGAGGTAGTACCTCAACGCATCCCGTTCGCCTCGATCGATTAAACTCAACACGACTTCTTCAAAGCTTTTAGAACATTGTGCATACACTTGTGCAGCAGAGATAAATTTTCCATTTTGAAAAAAATGATCAGCTTGTCCTATCAAAACTGCATCTCGATCTGCCGGAGTCTACGAATGACAAATTTTAATAAGTTGGTTTCTTGTAAGACACATTCTAAGGATTTTAGGTTTGCACTCACTTTAGCATGAAGTAATGCTGCATCAAAAGCATCTCGAGACAAAAAGACTTTCCAAATATTGCGACCCTCATCTTTAACAACCAATTCAAAGATAGAATCACTTGAATATAGCCAATAAGTATGATGGACGGGATCAGATGCCAATGCAATGATTTCTTCGCCTGGCCTCTTCAGAATGATCATCGAAAAAACAACGTCAGGCAAAATTACACGCTTTAGGCACCGATACATTTGACCTACCAAGTCTAAAAGTTCTTCATGTACCAAACGACTATCGAGTCGGCAAATCACCTGAATCCGATCATGATACAAAAGTACAAAGTGATACCTAGTCGAAGCCAGGCTAAGAGGTACATTAGAATCTACCGAACCATCTATGTGAGATGAAGTAACATGAGTGGATGATGCGTTGGGCAGATTATCTATCTTTCGATATGGAATCAGTTGAGATGTTAATATCACGCTATCGCCAGGCTCTTGATTACTGTATGAGATCTCTCCGTGGTAGATACCAGCTCCTGTAAGCCATGAGATAAGTGGAACTGTTTCGTTGGGGTCATCAAGATTATTGTTGGAGTTTGCCTTTGGGGATTGATATACATGTAATTCACTACTGTGAACTTGAACAGGCAGTTCAAGTGATTCTATAGCCAAAATACCAAGAGATCAGTCATTGAAGAATAAGATCAAGAAGATCAATGATTGAACTGACTTGGCATAGCCCGAGACGAAGTATAAGCCCCGAATAAACGCTCAAGTACGCTTTCGTTCATCTCTTCTTCATCTCTTTTATTCTTTAAGATCCCTAGTTGTTCAACAAACTGATGAATTCCACTTGATGTTGTCACAATTGCCAAAGCTTTACGGACACCTTTCTTCTTAGCAGCAAAGTGAGACCAAGAATCCCACCAAATTCCCGATATAGATTGTTGATCTGTAGTAGATGATTCAGGTAATGTATAGAGTGGTTTCAAATAACGATCGGGTGTTGTACGATCAGTCCTAGAAAAGGCTGCTGTGATCGATAAGTCGGAAACCGATTCGGGACTATGATGATCGATGAGTAAAGTGGCATAGAGAGCACCTGTAGAGGTACCTAAGACGATCTCTTTGGTTGAAGAAGCAGCAATTCCATTATAACTAGAAGGATTCCAACCAATAGCTGTGATAATCAATCCACGGAATTTGAGAAGTGGTTTGATCGAAGGCCCTAGGGTGATGAGTGAAGCACCTCGCCTGGCGGCCGCTTGAACGGCTGCCCGCTGTTGATTGATCGACGTGGGGGATAATGAGACGTAATAGTTATCTCCTGAAAGCAAAGAAACCAAAACATGACGCCCTGTGGGATCGCAATGAACTCGGTGAATGATCGTGGTAGGTCCGGCTTGTTGGGATCTAACTTGATTAGCTGATTGCAGAAGAGATGGAATAGGTAACTCGATAGTGTCTACCACCGATGGTTGAGCCAAATCGATTCGTACAAGTTGAGGTGGATTAGTAGAAGTGGGATCAGGTGGTAAAACTAAGAATAATAAAATGTGCGAATTGCACAAAAGTACTTGAAGTGGGTCATCGAGAGAGAATCTGAGATAAAATTAAGGTTATCCATAAAGCGATATCAGTTCAAGTGATCCATTGGATATTTTTTGAGCATCAACCGAAGTGAATCATGCTTCATACTACACACTGCACTCTTCCGAGAGAAAACATGCCTGGCTCGATCGATTTAGAAGGATAAGGATCAAACTGTGATAAATGAAAGATGTAAGTTAGACGTCTTTCTTCAAAAATCAATTCTTTCCAAAGAAACTCACTTCGATAACCCCATGGCCCGCATCTTCAGCCTGCCTCCTTCTTTCTCGTAAGTCTATCAGAGCAGCTTCAGACGGATCCTCGAAACCTTTAGCTGTTAACTGTCTAGTTGGATTCCCAATACCGGTTGAGAAATCAACGGTGGGAGTTGATCGACTGATGAATTCATCGAACGTAGCCATTTTAGATGAAATGAGAGATTGAGGTTCAATGATGTTGAGTGGTGATGTTTCGATCGAGTGAGCCTCTTGACTGAATTTTGATTCTGTCTTGATCGATTTCAGCGTATTGGCCCCGCCCGACTTGTCACCGGTCCAAAACCCGATCAACCCGCTTGAAGTGGTGATACATGCAACAAAATGCAACAACTCTTGAAGATGTGAAGAAGAGTCATCTTGTATCTCTCAATAAGCTTCACCCACACATACTCTCAGGAAGAGACATTAGATTGAGGAAAATTTTAAGATTTTTTTCCGTCAATAGGGGGTTTCAAGTCAAAAAAATTACAGTATTTTGCAATTCAACAAGTTGTCCAAGACCAGAAAATTTCACGTAAATTTCAAAAATTTGGGACACCTTGGGTAATCTTTCCGATGAAATTTGTGCCATTCCTTCACGCCTGCAATGTATGATTTCAAAGTTGACGCCTTTACCAACTTGTATCAAAGTTTTGGACTGCTGTCTGCAAACCACTTAATATATGTCCAGCACCTTTGACCACTTTTCATCCACAGAACAGTGGACAAGTTGAATCAATCAATGGTTTGGTAGAAGATTATTTAAGGCATTTTGTATTAGAAGACCAATTGAACTGGACTGCTTGGCTTTCCATCACCAAGTTTAAAAATGTCAAAGCACCACATGTGTTGGTGCAAAGTGGACAATTTTATTGGTCTTGCAAGGTCACTGATTCAATACCTGCCAGGTTTGGACCAAAAGTGGGTTTCCAATATGCACTGTGGTTGTAAACATATGAAAAAAATCTGCAAGATAATTGGAATGCAGATTCAACCGTTATTTTTCCATATTTTTCCAACCCCTTAAGTTCCAGCATCTGTGTACTTTTCAATGCTTTCTTACTTTCCTAAACTCAGCGGTGAATTTGAAATCTAGTGCAATGTAAACACCTCAGCCTTTGGAACTTTGCTACTGTCAAAATTTTCAGGGGTTGACATCTTTGGTTGTTGTTGGGATTGAAAATTCTGATCATTAATGTGTACAGGTTGAACAGGAGCAGGAGTAGGGTTTTTGTTTCCAGCAGCAGCTGGAGTATGCATGTTTGGTGCCTGAGACATTTAAGCTCGTTATAATCAATGTTCAGCTTCTTTGTGTTTTTGCAATTCCTCAGCAAGACTAGCTTTAAAATCTGAGAATTGGGCTATCAAATGGATTAGTTTTGTGATAATTCGGCCACTGTCATGTCAGTTTGTAGTTCCATCACATTCTCATTTGGTTCATGGAAGACGTTGCATAGTTTTCTTGAGTGGCTTCTGAACTTGAAAGTCAAAGAACTTGAACCTTTAAAGTCTGGTGGTTTGGCAAACTTTGATGGTGGACTAACTATAATTCCATATGTTGCTTTTCTGAATGCTTGAGACTTGCTGTAGGCTGTTGATCCTGGTTTAGACATTGCAATAGATTAAGAGCTTGTAGCTTGTAGCTTGTATCAAGGGTCTGGTGAAGGGTGCCTTTGTGATAGCACAAGATTTCAACATGAGGATGTCAAATATGAGGCTCAAGTAGAGTGTGATCTCATTACTAGCCTACAAGCATACATCTTGTTGAGGGCTCATAACAACAGTCTACATCTACAGTCATTTTGAGAAATATTGACAACTTTTTTTACAGAAAGTTGTTAGGTAAAATCAGAGAAAAAAATTGGTTAAAGGTTTGATTTTTTCTTTATCCTTCCAATTATAAGTGGAGAGACGAAACCCCGGTTTTGCATGTTGGCAAGATTTTCAAAAATACTCAATCTTTTTTGGAACAGTTGTACATGTACTTGGGTTTGAAGTGCTTATACCCATTTGAACTGGAACAAGATTGTAAATACCCAAAATATGATGATTGAAATATGAGGCAGTAAATGTATGATAAGGTGCATGAAAAAGGAACATTCACCCCAACAGAGACTTGGTTAGACACCTTATTTTCAACATTTGTCGGCTTGGGGGTAAGATGTGGGCAGCAATTTCCTGTGAATCCTCATTGGCTTTACTGGTGATGGTATCGAACCAGGTTTCTACAAGGTACCAGAAAAGTTGCAGAGACTTGCATCTTCCATGAACAATCTTGCTCAGGTAAGATATTGTCTGTTTTGTATTTGACCATTCCTCCTCTCTGCTTCTACAATTATCTGTTGTCCAAATGGGTTTATTTTGATTATTTGTGAAAAACAATAACCATTGCTTAAAATATGTCTTCAGGTGCTCCCAACCCTTCTCATAAATTATTTTTGAAAGTTGATCATCTATTTTAGATGTTTGCATGACATACAGGGCTCCAAAAAACAATGATATTCTATCCTTCTGAGCTAAATCCAATGCCTTACTTATCATTTTATTGCTCAGAATGATTTTGGATTGATGATAATCCATTTTTTTCTCAGGTTGGTGTCTATAAAGAGTATGTATCTCCTTGGAAAGTGATTTGAACAGCACCTGTATGTATTCTGAATATCCTGTGTGTTCTTCCTTGAGAATCATATGTCCTATCAGCCTAAGTCTGCTGGGAAATCCTGTGACTGACTTGACTCCATCCTTTTTTGAAACTTTACTTTTCACCACAGATTCATTGGAAGTGCATCCACTAGGCATGTTCCGTATCAAATTACCTTGCCCCTGCTGTTCATAAGCTTCTTTGCATGTCTGAAGGAAAGAATCATAGCTTATATTGATTCTGTGCAGTGATGCCTGGTGTTTGGTACTTTGGTGCCATATATTGAGAAGTTCAAGAATCATTTCAAACTGGACCGGAGACCTTTCTTGTATTTGTAAAGTATGTGAAAGAATATCAACAGAATTTTTATGTTTTAAACTGGACTTTTCACTGCATTCTGGTGCCAAAAAGATAACTTCATCTTGCAATGGCACAAATTGATTGTTTAAAAAGTTTTGCAAAAATCCCCATGCATCTTCTATCAATTGTCTCCTTGATGAAAAATCCCCATACTTGGAATGGATCAGCCTCAGAGATCCAAGGAACCCCATCACTACATTGGTCCGTATCTTCTCAATTGCCTGGATGATTTTCTGTGAGTCATAAGAACACAATCCACTTATTGCTAGCTTTGCTTTGCATGAATATTTAAATTCCTCAAATACTGAAATAATTTTGTCAGAAACAACAGGCGTGAACCACATAGCCAATTGAAATTGCCATCACAGTGTCTGCATTAAGCCTCTGTATTCAACCTTCCCAGTCCCTGATTGGTAGCTTTTTGCATTGTAAGAAACCAGATCCCCAGGGTCATTTTGAAACAAAGGGTTTGTTAATCATTCTTGTGATAAATCACAGCTGCTCTTGTGCTTCTTTTTGAATGCCTGCTCAATGTGTGGGAATTCTTTATCACTAGCCTTTTGATTTACATCCTTTTCAAGGATATTATGTCCAGCCTTGGCTCTCCTCTTGTTCTCCCTTTCTATATCACTGCTAATTCCAAGTGAGCTGATTGATCTTTGTAGAGTGTTGAATGGTTGTGCAATATGTGAATGTTGCTGTGAGTCCCCTTGTAGTTGTATGTTGAAGTTGGATAAATAGCTAGGAGGGGTACAATCATCAAAAGAATTATGGTTTTGGAAGCCATCAGGATTTTTTCTTTGCTCCAGTGCATCACGAAGCTCCCTTTCAGTAGTGTTGAGACAAATTTCATATTGTGGGGCATATGTTGCATCTGGTTCCCAAAACCAGCTGGGTATTGATGTGGGACCACTGGTTTCTACATCTGAGGCGGCTAGGGTCCAAGGGATTGTAAGTTCTTGGCCACTTGGGAAGAATGAGGTTGCTACATCATCATGGAACAACACACAGTGGATTATTGTAATCAAAAATGTGAGAAGATGTGACATTTTTGTTGGGGGTATGAATTCTGATGGGTCTTTTCAACCCCAGAAGAGACATGGAGTTCAGCACATTCCATTATGAGTGGCATATACCTTTGGTGTTTCTTTGCCTGAAAAACTTTTGAACCTGTTCCAAAATGTGTCTGAGGTTTAAGTGAATTGTTCCATAACAATATCCTCAGATGAATTGAACATGACACCTGTCTATATATAATATAACATACCCTCCAATCTTACTAGTGCCAGAATTTTCCTCACAGAACTCAAGCTGATTGGTGTGGAATTCAAAGGTGCAAGGGTGAACTATCTTTGTAGACCATAGTCATGTCATTTGATATAATAAGAACCATGTCTTGTTAGTTGAAGACATTATTTGGGTACCATTCTACATCATTGTATAGCCTTATAGTCATAAGCGGTCTGAATGCACTGCAGCTGTGTTACTTTCAAAGTGGAAGAATAAAATAAACAGTCTATGAAGCCAAGGTGAGTGATACTGATACTCAAGTCATTGATGTCTACATGACGACTGGAGTCTCAGCATAAGTACACTCTCTGCCACCAACACCAGCACTTTTGTGGAGACCTCATGGTGTTTTTCTCAGACAGCCTAGAGGGTGCCGCCCCATCCTTACCTTTGGAACTCCTTGGGGTTGCCAGAGCAGGAGCAAGCGCTCTCCTTGAGACTGCACCAACCAATGGTGATGAAGAGCTAAGATAACATACCCAATGTGTGGAGCAAATCAGTTCTCAATGGCTTCATATTATTTTGGCTTACTGCCTGTGAAAACTGTTAATTAGTCATTACTTGTTCTACTACAGTGTTTTTATCTTTTATCTCATATGGTTTACTCTTATCCAGTTCCTCAAAATATAAAATTGTGGCCATCTATTTACTTGCAAATTCTATCCATGAGAGGTGATTCAAATGGGGACTTGTGTTCATTATCCTGCACAAGAATAGTGAGTAGATCATATTTGGAAGTTAGGGCTGACCTAATCCATGATCTGCCAGACCAGAAATGATTATGATTTATAGCTCACCCCACAAGTTTTGAGTTTAACCTTCTGGCACTTAAAAAAGATTTAGATCATCTTGTATGAAGAGGAAAAAGTTACAACTCTACTCTGACAAATGGAGTTACCCATTCTACATATTTCAATTTGGTCAAGGATGCTTCAAATTATTCAAACTCAACAACAGTCACAACATGCAGCATGGAACCAGTGAAATTTGGGGTAATAAACAACTCTGAATAAAGAATAATAACTGGAGATATTTACCCAAGTAGAGAGCTGGTGAGACACCTGTGTTTCAAAAACTGACGGTTTGGGGGTGAAATATGGACTGCAATTTCATGTGTGTCACTTTCTCCCTTGCCAATGACAACCTCATACCAGATATCTACAAGATACCAGAGAAGCTGCATAGACTTGCATCTTCCACGAACAATCTTGCCCATATGAGATATTGTGTACTTTATATTTGACCACTCTTCCTCTCTGGGTCTACAGTAATATGTTGTCCAGATTGCTTGATTTTTATTATCCCTGAAAAACGTCAACCACTGATTGAAATATGTTTTCAGGTGCTCCCAACCTTTCTCATAGATGATTTTTGAAATTTTCTCATCCACTTTACATTTTTGAATGACAGAAAGGATTCCAAAAAACAATGGTACAATATCCTGGTGAGCTGACAACACTGCCTTATTTATCATTTCATTGCTCAAAATGATTTTGTTACTGTTAGTCTTTGGAATGTTTTTGTTGAGAGTTTGGTGTCTATAAAATACCTGTATATCTTTGGATAGTGATTTGAAGAACACATCTATTTTTCCTGCATATCCTGTGTTTTTGTCATCAATTATTACCCATCCCATACGCTTAAGTCTGCTAGGAAATGCTCTAATTAGATTGACTTCACCCTCATTTGAAGGGTTAATTCCCACCCCATTTTCAAGACTAAATTTATGTTGTCTCAATTCATTGGAATTGCATCCACTACTTACTTTCCATAGTGAATTACCTTCTCCCTGTTGTTGATATGCTTCTTCACATGTCTTAAGGAAGGAATTATAACTTAGATTGACTTTGTACAGGGACGCCTGGTGTTTGGTACTCTGATACCACATGTTGAGAAGTTCAATGATAATCCCAAATGATATTGGAGATCTTTCCGGCATATGCAATGCATGTGAAAGGATATCATCAGAGCATTTATATTTATAATTGCTTGTTTTAAAGCCTTTATGTGTCACACAGTTGACTTCATCTTGCAATTTCACAAATTGATTGTTCAAGATGTTTTTTAAGAATTTCCACCCATCTTCTATCAATTGCTTCCTTGCAGATAAATCCCCATACTTAAAATGTATAAGCCTCAATGATCCAAGGAATCCCATAACCACATTTGTTTGTATCTTCTCAATTGCTGGGATGACCTTCTGTGCATCATATGGGTATGTTTTACCCATTGGTAACTGTGCTTTTGATGAGTCTTTGACCTCGTCAAACACTGATATAATGTCTTCAGAAACACCAGGTGTGAACCACATAGCTAATTGAAATTGCCATTTGAGTGTCCAAATCAAAGCTCTGTAATCAACCCTCCCAGTATTTGGTAGGCTCTTCTTTGATTCATAAGAGATCAGAACTCCAACATCGATTTGAGAAGAGGGGATTGGTGAACCTAATTTTGAGAAATAAAAGTTGTTTTTATGCTTTTTGTTGAATGCCTGTTCAAGTTGTGTGGAGTTTTCTTCAGTGCCATTGTGATCTTCTTCCTTTGCAAGGGTTTTCTGTTCAGCCTTGGTTCAGCCTTGGTTCTCTCTTTCTGTGACAGTTCCACTCCCAAGTGAGACAGCTGAACTTGTTGGAGTGTTCAATGATTGTTTGATGTGCAAATGATGCTCTGGGTACCCCTGTAGTGGGATGCCCTCATTATTGAAAGCATTGTGAGCTTGAAAGTCTTGCAATTTTTTGTTTTGCTCAAGTACATCAAGGAACTCCTCTTCAATAGCTTCAAGACGACTTTCATATTCTGGTTCATATGTTGCATCTGTATCCCAAAACCAGCTGGGTAATGATGTGGAGCTTGTGGTTGCAACTTCCCAGGTGCCTAAGGTCCTGGGAGCTGCGAGGTCTTGCTCATTTGGGAAGAATGAGGTCACTACACGGAAGAACACAAAGTAGTTTATTGTGATCAAAAAGACAAACAAATGTGACATGCTTGGTTGGATTATGAATTCTGATGATTATGTTCAGGACCAGAGTAGATATTGAGTTCAGCACATCACAGTATAAGTGGGAGGAAGATTTTCAATGTTTTTTTGCCTTATCATTAGTTGTACATGTTCCAAAATTTGTCTGAGTTTTAAGTGATACATTGCACAACAATCATATTGGATAAATCAAACTTCAGCATGCACAACAACACACCTAGGAGTCGTAACCACAGGGTTCAATAGGTACACAGACATGGTAACATGCTCCTTTTGCCACATATCTGAAGCAAAGTACATCCTAACAGATTGCTTAAATCAAAGTTTTTTTGATGATGATTATTGTTCCATAGCTGTTCAAGTTTTTGTGAGTCAAGAGATTGAGGTGAATATCATGAAAAGGGTCAACAATAAAGGTTACAAATCTCTACTTTCAAGATTTTCCCCAGTACTACTCCAGCAATTGAGAAATTATACTTGGAGGGTGTTATGATCCTGTCACGGATCATGGAGCTGTCACAAAATGTGACATGTGTAACTCTCAACCTCATGCGAGCCAGCGCTCCACTTGTATTGCTCCTCATGCTACAATAACTATACTACACCACGGGGCAATTGGGCTCGCCGTTTGACGGTCAGAAAAGACCGCCAAAAGCCCAGATTTCCTTGGTGGTGGCCGGCCGCCAAAATCTGGCCAGTGGAACGGCGGTCTTTTGGCTGGGCTTTGCTGGCGGCCGGCATCTGGGCAAACGGCGGCCTGTAGACGGGCTTCGATCATCGGAAGCGGCCGCTGATCATGTGAAGAGAGATCGAGCTCATCTCTCTTCACCTTCTCATGCCTCCACCCAGTGCTTACCTCCTCAACTCTTGTGGATGGGGGTGTTGTGCTGATCAAGGGTTGAGGGCCTCCCAGACCATGAATTCGATTCTGGGAGCTTTCCCGTTGTCTAATCACAAAAACTGTGGCTAGAACACCTTCTATTGACAAGATCACAAAAACGGGTTTTTTGTTTCACAGCATCAAATCTGACCGTCGTATCAGACGGCCGTTTGTCCAGCTTTTGACGGGCATAATGCTCATCAATATACCGCCAGATCGATCAGCTAAAGACCAGCTTTTTTCTGGCCAAAAACTGAGGTTTTGGCCAGAAAACAGCCGGTCTCATCCGACCGTCAAGATCTGACCAAAACCTGAGATTTTGGCCAGCGTTTGACCGGTTTTTGGACACGACCACTTTTGAGCTCAGCTTTTGGCTCAACAATTGCCCCGTGGTGTACATACTCAGCACCCTTTCCCTCTCTCTGTCCCCATCTCAAGGCCCCTGAAGCTGGCCATAACACATTGTAGCATCTATCCGAGACAGACAGAAGGAAGAAAATACATAAAGAAGAAGAAGAAGAAAAAAAGTTTAAAAGAAGAAAAGAAGAAGAAAAAAAAATTTAACAGCAAGAAGAAGAAAATTTTTTTTTAGAAGTTTTATATTAGCTATTGGATTTTATTAGTTAGAAGTAGAAGAAAGAATCACGCACATTAGACATACCTCACACCCAAACCCATCACGCCTTCCTACCAACCACCGTCCGAAGAGACCGAGTCATCCGAAAGCACCTCCTGGTACGACATCGACCCTGACAACCCATCATCAGCTGAAATGGCCACCGCCGAGGACGTGAACCGCCTATCTCAGCAACTCGCCGACATCAACAATCGACTGAACCAGGAGACGGCTCAAAGGGCAGAACTAGCTGCTCAACTTGCCGAGGAAACCAACCGACGCACCCACGCCGAAGCTAGAGTGACCGAACTAGAGGCTGCCCAAGGCAATGGAGCCGGACCAGTCCCAACCACAACCCCACCTTCTCAACCTAGTGCCACGACCCCAACCGCACACCCAGCTCCCACCACCAGCACAATCTTGCCCGCAATCAAAGTGGCAACCCCCGACAAATATGAGGGTGCCCGAGGCGCACTGGCTGAGGCGTACGCAAGCCAAGTCGGCATTTACATCGCGATGAACAGGGCGTTGTTTACTACCGACGATGCGAAGGTGATGTTCGCGATTTCGTACCTGACCGGTGAAGCAATCAAGTGGGCCCAACCGTTCCTTCAGCGCATTATGGAACCGGCCGAGACTTGAGCGAACCCCGTCACATACCTCGAGTTCACGCGTGCCTTCGAATCAGTTTTCTTTGATTCCGACCGACAGAAGCGAGCCGAAGCGGCCCTCCGAGCCCTGAAGCAGACCAAGTCAGCCGCCGAGTATACTATTCGCTTCAATCAATTGGCACCTACCACCAAGTGGGAGCTCCCGACGCTCATCAGTCACTACCGCCAAGGACTGAAGAGTGCAGTCCGCATCCCCATGATTCGTGACCACTTTGACGACCTCGAGAGTATCACTAAGCTCGCGTGCGCAATCGACAATGACTTGCGAGGCGAAACGGTTGACTCAGCCACGGTAACCCGTCCCGTCGACCCAAACGCAATGGACATTTCCTCTGCCCGATTCAATATATCATCAGACGAATACAATTGAAGGGCTTCAGACCGTTTGTGCTTTCACTGTGGGAAGAAAGATCACTTAGCTCGTTGGTGTCCGTCGAAGAGTAGAGGACGAGGTAGAGGTGGTATTGGTGGTAAAGGCAAGATAGCGGAGTTAGAGGCGAAGATTGCGGCACTGCAAGTGGGATTAGGGGTGCAATCAACTTCATCATCATCAGCAGCAGATACATCAAAAAATGGCGCAGCTCGGGAGTGACGGATGTGCCACCCCCGGGCCGGAGTATGGAAGAATCAGGAATGGAATTGGACTCACTTAACATTAATGCAATTAAAAAGAAAGATCCCCGTGTTTTTACTTCAATTTCCCTTTCTGAGTCTCCCTGCGCCACATCCCCCAACCCCAATAGCGTCCCAGCCAATGCCTTGATCAATTGCGGTTCCACGCATGTCGTGCTGGGCAAGAAATTTGCCGATTGAACTGGCTTACCGGTGTCGAAACTACCAAATGCAGGCGAGGTGTATGGCTTTGACGGAGCCCCTCGCACTGTCGCCCATGACGCAGACCTGTTCATTGACGACGACAAATCCAAGACGAAGTTTTTAGTCACGTCTATCAAGGATTCTTATGATGCCATCCTTGGGATGCCCTGGCTGCGAGAGAACGGACATCGCATCAACTGGAAGACTGGAACACTGAACCCGAAAGACTCACCAACAAACATTGCAGCCATCGAAATGGCTTCGTCCATCCCGCCAACATCCCCCGATCGCCTTGAGGCCCAAGTGGGGAACACGAGGGACAGTGACGAGGGGGCTCTCTGCCATACAGAGACTAAGCCCCCGCGATGTGAGTCCAACAACCCTTTTTCACCGTTACTACTTGACACAGATAACGATCAGAGTCTTCTTGTACCACAGCCCCATCACATCGAAAGAGAACAAATGTTAGACTCACCGAAGACCCAATGCCAACTGCTAGAAGGACTAGATCAACCGAAGAATATCGCAGCCACTGATGAGGCTTCGTCCAACCCGCCAACATCCCCCGATTGCCTTGAGGCCCAAGTGGGGAACACGAGGGACAGTGACGAGGGGGCTCTCTGCCATACAGAGACTAAGCCCCCGTGATGTGAGTCTAAGAACCCCTTTTGGCCGTTATTACTTGAATCAGATAACGACCTGGACTCTCCTCTACCACAGCCTTTAAATGACGAGACGGAGAACTTACCAGACTCACAAAGTAACCACGAACCGACCACGAAGACAGCAACAAACATCGCCACCAAGGAATTGGTGTCGCCCTGTCCGAAAACCACCCCGACTAGCCTTAAGGCCCAATTGGGGACCACTAGGAAAAGCGGCGAGGGGGCTCTCTGTGAAAAGGAGATTAAGCCCCCGCGATGTGAGTACAACACAGCTATCAGCCAGTCACGTGAATCAGTTGACAAGCTCTTACCGGTCATTCCTAGATTAACGGCTTCCTCCTGTGCTGCGAGTGCTTCCTGGAACTTATCTGCAAAAATAGCAGCTGACAAAGCTAAAGACAAGCCGTCAAAGTCCGCGGAGGAATTGGTTCCGACAAGGTATCACCGATATATCAATATGTTTCGTAAGACGAGCGCCATGACACTTCCCCCCCATCGCCGTTATGAATTTCGCGTCGATCTAGTGCCCGGAGCGACCCCACAGGCTAGCAAGATTATACCTTTATCGCCTGCCGAAGAGACAGCACTCAACTCAATGATCGATGAGGGCCTTGCTAAAGGGACAATTCGACGTACCATGTCGCCTTGGGCCGCCCCAGTCCTCTTCACGGGGAAGAAGGACGGTAACCTACGTCCCTGTTTCGACTACCAAAAACTGAACGCGCTCACCGTCAAGAATAAGTACCCACTTCCTCTCACAATGGAGTTAGTGGATAGCCTACGGGATGCTGAAGACTACACCAGCCTAGACCTACGTAACGGATACAATAAATTGAGAGTCAAAGAAGGAGATGAAAAGAAGTTAGCATTCATTTGTAAGAGAGGACAGTTCGAACCACTTGCAATGCCCTTTGGGCCGACTGGAGCCCTGGGCTTCTTCCAATTTTTCATATCTGATATACTACGGGAGAGAATAGGACGAGACTTAGCTGCGTATCTGGACGACCTCTTGATATACACACCAGCAGGAGTTGATCACGAGAAGGTTGTGGAGGAAGTATTGCAAATACTACAAGCACACAACATTTGGTTAAAGCCGGAGAAATGCAAATTCTTGTGCAAAGAGATCGAATATCTGGGCTTACTGATTTCCAAGAACAAAGTTCGCATGGATCCTCTCAAGGTATCGGCAGTGAGCGAGTGGCCGGTCCCAAAAAATGTTACACAGATCCAGTGATTTTTGGGTTTCTCAAACTTCTACAGACGATTCATTAGCGGCTGCTCTCAGATCTCAAGACCCCTGCACGACCTAACCAGAGATGACGTACCGTCTGAATGGAAGGAAAGCCAGCAGAAGG